AACTGAAAACTACCTAGAAAGTCAAGGGTATGAAGTACTCTTTTTAATATTTTTATGGTCAATATTTTAATAAATTTTTATTTTACTTATTTTTATTTTTTAATATAATATTTTATAATTCAAATTAAACTAAATTATAAAACATTAATTATTAATTAAAGTAACTCGTTTTACCCCCCACTATCAAGGCTCTCATCATGATTAGTATTTTTATAATTTGACTATAGAACATTTTTTATATTTTTTCTAATATTTTTATTTAAAATATTTATATAGTTTAAATTACATAAAATTAACAATAAATTAAGAGCGAATCTCCTTATATAAGTGCAGGTCCTTCCTTGTCAAATAATTCTAATTTTACAATTTCCTAACAGTGTGAACAGCAAAATCACTCACTCAAAACTTTTTTATTTTTAAGTACAATCTACAATGGATTCTTCCAAAAATTGAAAAGCACAGATCCAACCAACAATAATCATCATTCATCAGGGCGAAGCCCAATAAAATGCGGGCTGATTAAAAATGTGGGCTAGCCCAATCATAAACCATAGAACTGTGGAAAGACGAAAGGGGTTTCTTCCAATTATATATAGAAGACCGTGGAACCCTAAAACCCTACCCCTTGCAGCCGTCGCGGCAAAGAGCTCCTCTTCTCCATTTCAGCTGCAGGTTGTTGTTCATCTCAGGTACTCTCTAGCGCCTCTTCCCGCTGTTGTGTTCATGTTTATCCCTTTTTGTATCAGATCCAAAATGGGTAATGAAAAATCCAAGCATTTGATTTTTTTTGGAGCTTTATGAACTCTGTTTACCTGTTTTTATGAATTAATGTCTGATTTTTCCGATTGGATTTCAGAAAGTATTCATTTTTCGTTTGGGTTATCAGTGTTCTGTAGTAGTTTGAGATGGGTTTTGTGCGAAAGTTTTCCAGCTGGAGTTTTTTTTGAATCTTTCAAACTATGCTCTATATTTCCATCATCATCTTTGCATTTATGAAATAAGTTGTTAGAATGGAGGTGTACCATTATGTATCAGGGTAATACAAGTGGGTTTTGATTTGGTCTGTTGAGCAGCCTGTAGTGCCTTTCTGGTTTAGTTAGCTAGTTCACGGTTACGTGTTATGCTCTCTTCTGGGTTTATTGAATTATTAATATGGATGCATTAGGGGCGTTAGTTTGGCAATTTTAGAGCATGCCAGGTGGGCTAAGTTCTGTTTGAGAAAGAGGTTAGTTAGTCATTTTATAAATTTGCTTAACTGTGTGTGTGTATTTGCAGGTAAATCATGGTTAAGCACAACAATGTGGTGCCTCATTCCCACTTCAGGAAGCACTGGCAAAACTATGTGAAAACATGGTTCAATCAACCCGCCAGGAAAGCTAGAAGAAGAATTGGTGGGTAGAACTTTTTGTATGTTGATTTGTTGTTGTTTCATCTTTCGTGGGTGTTCCTTTTATTCTCTGGTTTCTTTGTACTATTTTGTTGTTATTGACTAGATGTTTCTATACAATTATAGCTAGGCAAAAGAAGGCTGTGAAGATTTTCCCTCGCCCTACCACTGGTCCACTACGTCCTATTGTCCATGGCCAGACTTTGAAGTATAACATGAAACTGAGAGCTGGTCGTGGGTTCTCACTTGAAGAGCTCAAGGTAAGTTGTTTTTTGCCTATTCTTTATTTGCACTTAAAATTACCGAAATTTCCACCAACAATAATCAAGTTGGTAATCTGTTAAACTCCTCAGTGTAGTATTTCAGGCATACACCTAAGCAGCTACAGCTTTAACAGATTTAATATTGCTTACCTTGGAGATAGAGATAGAGATAGATTCTGTATTTCTATTCTCTGGGACAGAGCTAGCTTTTGGTATACAAAGATGTGTGTAACTTGTTAAAAAAAATTTGAATTCCAGACCTTCATATTTCTCTTGATGGATGCTTGTCATACTATTTACTGAATGTCAATGCTTTGAGCATGTGATTAACATATGATGTGTAAATGCCTCTAGTATAACAAATTGAAAGTTTCTTCTCTATTTTAGGCTGCAGGGATCTCAAAGAAACTTGCTCCTACCATTGGCATAGCGGTTGATCATCGTCGCAAGAACCGTTCTTTGGAGGGTCTTCAAGCCAATGTTCAGAGGCTCAAGACATACAAGGCCAAATTGGTTGTATTCCCAAGGCGTGCTCGCAAGTTCAAGGTAATTCTTAATGGCTAATAAACTCATACATATGATTTGTCGCAAGTCTTTTATCCCATCACAATTTCTTTTCCTTCCCTTTATGAAACTTTGCTCAAATTAAATTTCTTTTCTTTTAACCTGTCTAGGCTGGTGATTCTGCTCCTGAGGAACTTGCATCTGCAACTCAAGTTCAAGGGCCATACATGCCTATTGTTCGTGAGAAGCCATCTGTTGAGCTTGTTAAAGTTACTGGCGAGATGAAGTCACTCAAGGCATATAACAAGCTCCGTGTGGAACGTATGAATGAGCGCCACCTTGGTGCTAGATTGAAGAAGGCTGCTGAGGCCGAGAAGGAAGACAAGAAGTAAACTATTTTTCAAAGGGCTTCATTTGCATTTTGATCACAACTATTAATTACATTTGTTTTTCATAGTCTTGGCCTTGGTACCATCATTGAGTTGGAATCTGTTTTCTGAACGTGTTTTCCATTTTTGCTAGTTATCCTCTTTTGACAGTAGTTTACTTCCTTGTGTTGCTTTAGCATTCATTGCTTTGACAATGAAAACGTTGGTGTTTAGTAATACTTCAATAGTTGACTATCAGTGTCTACGTTGATTTATCTTTCTGAGCAATAATCTCCCTCAATCTTGGATTCTCCTCCTGAAGTGCCTCGAAGTGGGGTACTGTTCCCAATGGCTTCATTGCTCAACTCAAATGCACTTTCTACCACTTGCTTAGCGCCACAAGCTCACTACAACGACCTACCTTCCTTTGCTCTTCAGACACAATTGTGATGGCAAGCAATGCTGCAATATATGCACAACATAGTTCAGCAGTCAGTTTTTGCAAAGGTTACTTACAAATGATTTTCCGAACTTACAATAAAATTTTGCTTATAAGCAGCTCCCAAAATGGAGTTGCGTCAAACAGACTCAACTCCAGCAAAATCAGGCACTCCATTCCTCCTTTTCTTAAACCCAATAAACCCTGGAGCTTCCATGTAAATGCCTCATCTCTTCGTTTCAGAGCTGCAGCGGCTGGAGACCAACAACCTATGATACATTTTTACAAACTTTCAATTCATAACCTCTTTCAGTTCTTCACTTTTATTCTGATATGCAATCGTCTTATTTGATGGCCATAGCCAGCATTGCTAGGGATTCTGGAGTAAAAGGAAGGTGGGTATGTATGATTCGTGTCAATTTCATACTTTCTTTTGCTGTCTATAGCTTTAATTTTTCATTTTCTACATAAATTTGAAGTTCTATATGCTTGATTCTTAATGGTTTGTGAAGTGGAAAAATCTCATCTAAGTGGATTAAATTCGAATATATGATTTGCTTCATTTATTGTCCATTGATTCAAAAAGAAATATATATATATATATATATATATATTTTGAGAAATTTAATTTTTTAATATTTTTTAATACTAATTTATATTTAAAAAGTGCAATATTGTACCTTACGTCGGAAAAACTCAAAAGAAAATTGATATTGGCCAAGGCCCAAGCTTTTTGTTTCACAGTCACAGGCTCACAGCCTCGTTCGGATCCGACCTGAATACAGGAGAGAACCTGATTCTGCAACTTTGGATGGCCTTATTGCTGACACCACCTGCCATTTTCTCTCTCGCAAAGCTCTCCTCAAAGTCCTCCAGAATGGCTCTAAACCGAACTTCCTCCAATCCTCCGAATTTCACCACAGATGGGAAAAGGAAGCTCCCCATATTGCTCTTTGACATCATGGACACCGTTGTTCGTGACCCTTTTTACCAGGACGTTCCTGCCTTCTTTGGGTACCAATTCTTACCCTTTGCTCCACCTCGATTCTATTCTACCTGTTTAATTAGTTTCTATTGACTTCAACTGTTGTGGGTTTCTAGAGCTTAATTTGCTTGGCAATGTTAAAACTTGTTATGAAAAATGGTATCAATTCTCCGTTTTGAATTCTGGAAAATGCAAAATTCTGCATTTTTATTGTCTGATAAGGGAAAAGTAAGGATCTTTACTGAACCAAGAAAATATTGGTATAATGGATTCTTGGGTTTTTGTGCTTCATGTGTCTAGAATTGGGTATAACATTCAATTGCCAGGACTAGAATTGGAATCTACACCCTTCCATTCCAAGTCTTTCTATATTCTGTTTGAAGGGTAACACTACAGAATCAGTGGCATGAAATAAATCTTGAACAGCCATACTGGATGGGGTTAGTTTTCAATTTCATTTTTCTAAAAAAATGATGTGAGAATTTGTCATATTTTTGGTTTTACTTTAGTAGGAGAAAAATATCTTCTTTTTTACAGTTTAGGAGAAATTAATTCTTGAGAATCATAATTAAAATGGTTAATTGATATGGACATGAGGACTAAAATAGTTAGGGATGAGGGATACTCTTTTTCGTTACTGGAAATCAATTTCCCCTTACGGGAGGAAGTTGATTTTTGGAAAATGAAAAGAATGCAAAACTATACTCTTTTCCAATCTCTAAGTATTTTACGTCTCATATAACATTAATGGGGCACCTAAGCTATAATTCCTATTTAGGCATTTTCCACAAACCAAATGGAGGGTTAGTTTTCATTATTTTTCTGAAATTTTTATCATGTTTCATACAGTTAAAGTGAAATTTTGTCAGAATGTCTTTGAAGGAACTAATAGAATGCAAGCACCCGACAGCATGGATCGAGTTTGAAAATGGGATGATTAATGAGGTACACTTAAAACTATTTTGAACATCTTTTGTTTCACCTAGCTAATGTATCAATATGAGTGGAAGTTCAATTTTATGGGATTTTTCAAACTATATTTAATATTATTTATTTTTTCAATACCGCTTTTCATATTGCAGTATTAGGCTGGAGTTTCTTTTTCTGTTTCTTCAGTAGATTGCTGCTGCTTTTTTCAAAAGGAAGTTATGCTTCGTGTTAAATAACATTTAGCAGTTTACTCATTGGTATAGTGGTTAACTTGCTTTGTCTCTTTTAGATAACAAGACTACTTGTTGACTAGGCCCAGTTTTCCTTTTTTTTTTCATATATTGAACCTAAAGAGGTGGTAATAAACAAAACAGTTGTTATAACCTGTAATTTCTTGTCCTCCAAGAAGGATTTCTTAATCATTCTGGATGCAACTTTTTCATTTATAT